AGTAATCCAGTGTGACACTTGGAGCTTCCTGAAATAAAGACTGGTCACTGCTGTGCAGGGTGACTGGTCTTGTATTCGCCCCCTTCTGCAGGCAGCCTGTAGTGGGTGGAGTCTGCTATATCCCTCCCACAGCTCTATCCTCTGCACAGACTATGCAACATAATGAGGGTGTCACTGCTTCTTTTGCAAGGTAACAAATAAGTTGGTGAAGGCATTTGGTTCATGAAAATGAGCTATATATCCTTTGGGCCTATTGAGGACTATAAATAAAAAATTTTGTGCCTGGAGTTAGGTGTTAAGCATTTCTTCCCTTCTTTATTTATAGTGTTAGGTTGACATTGGAGGAAAGCTCCACTTCCATTTCTAAATGTATTATCTGTATGCAGTATGTTACACACTTGCCTCTGTAAAACTGCATTAACCTAGTATGACCTGTAAGCGCACTCACATCCACCTATCCACATACCAGGGTTTGATTTCCAATAATCCACCTGAGATTACTACATTTGTTGTGCCTTTTATGTCTGTTTGGTCAATAAGTCAAACTGTGCTAAGTATTGTATGAGCACATTCTCTACCGCACATGTGAATTAAATGCTCACTATAAAAAGCCAATGAGCTATAGGGTCCCTATGACATTCACTCCATAACACACAGGAGAGACTCACGCAGTGCACAGCCTTGCAATTTTCACTGCGTATAATGGTTCATAATTGTAACATTACGGGCCAATGCTACCCAAAAGGAATGTTAGGTTTGGGTTTTCACAAATGATTGGTGGGCCGAATCACGTCAGCTTTTTGAGGGATACCAATCGCAAGACTTTATCATGGTGGCTTGGGTCTCTGTCCCATCTCACAAGGTCGTAACCAAGATCTGAACTGGAAGAAATATAGAAAAGGTCAACAATAGTAGACTCTATACCGCTTTTGTCTGCAGACTCAAAGTGCTTTATCGACTCTTAGAGCAGATAGTGAGGCAGCCATTTTGGGCACTCTCAGTAGGATATCAAACTAAGGTCAATTTTAGACCTAAGGAAATTAACCTACCAGCATGAGTTTAGAGTGTGGGAGGAAACCAGAGTACCCGGAGGAAACCCAGGCAAGCAGAGAGATGAAATGCAAACTCCTTGCAGATCGTATTCTGACCAGGACTTGAACCAAGGACACCAGTGCTGAAGTGCTAACCAATTAGCCGCTGTGCTGCCCCTATATGCCTTATATTTGTCTGGCTCTCCCTGAAAACAAGCATGCAGCTAGTAAAAGGCAGCAGAAAATTGGAACTACTGATCTGCACACTCTTGTTGACTTAGTTTGTAAATGGATCAGCATGATGAGCAGGCATCTTTAAAATGAGAACTTAGCAATGGCATTGGCAGTGAATAAACTTTCCAGCAACCACACTGAAGTATGTTTGGGCTGAGTTAAGAGCCAATTCCCACCATATGCCTTGGGGCTGCGCTGGAATGCCCAGACTTGTCATGGACAGGCTCAGTTCACATGACTGCGTTGCGATAGTAACGTGGTGGTGTGTGCTGAAAAAAAGTACCTTTTTTTCTTCTAGTGCAGCAGGATGCCACACAGAATAACCGCCTTGTATCTCGCTGTTTGAGTAGAACTCAATGAAATGTCACTTGTTGCATTTCAATAAAGTTCTAGCAAAAAAAAAAATCAGTGCGATGTTCCAGGATAGGCACATTGGCATGGTGTCAGGCAACGCACAACACCCACTCTGTGTTTAGAGCAGTGGCCATTGGCCCTACATTTATTTTATACATTTTGCTTAAAATAATATCAAATATGAAGTTTGCAGATATTACAGGTGAAACTCGAATAATTAGAATATCGTGCAAAGTTCATTTATTTCACTAATGCAACTGAAAAGGTGAAACTAATATATGAGAGAGACTCATTACATGCAAAGCAAGATAATTCAAGCCGTGATTTGTCATAATTGTGATGATTATGGCTTACAGCTCATGAAAACCCCAAGAACCCCAAATCCACAACCTCAAAAAAGTAGATTATTACATGCAATCAATAAAACAAGGATTGTACATAGAACAATATCGGACCTCTGAAAAGTACAAGCATGCATATGTACTCAGTACTTGGTTTGGGCCCCTTTTGCAGCACTTACTGCAATTACTTTTGCACGATATTCTAATTATTCGAGTTTCACCTGTACTACTAACCAAGTTATGTAATTTAAAGTGATTACTAAATGCCCATGTATGCCTGTTAAAAGTCACTGGTGCCAAGACAGATAGCATTCCCATGATCCCAACTGTGACCGCAGATTAGGAAAGGAACCTAGAATGGGATATATTTATGTAAAATCAGACCTGAGCAGTCCTTGGGAAGCCTTGCCAAGGATGTTTAGTGAGATGGTGGGTAAGCAAATTTAACAAACTGAACTAATCCTTTAAAGAACATCTCCAGGTATACATTTCTACACAAGAACAGCCTCTACTACCAACCACTTCTTTATTCCATTAAAAGTCATGAAATATTTTTCCAACTCTGCAGAGTAGCTATCCAAAATGTGTCTTTACGCTGAATTTGCAACTGAGAATATCAATAGGGTTTGTAGAGGAAGTGCAGTGTACACTAGGTGGTCAAAAGTATGTAGACACCCCTCAAATCCTTGGGTTCAGGCTGGTACTGGTAATGCCAGTGCAAACATTTTAGCAAGAAAGACATTTTAAACAATTGTGACCTTTAAACTTTTGGCAACAGCTTGTGGAAGACTCGTTTTCTGTCCCAGCATGACTGTTCCCCAGACCACAGAGCCAGCTCCATAAAGACATGGCTTGAGGAGTTTTGGTGTGGAGGAACCATAATGCCCAGCAGAACCCTGACCTCAACCCTACTAGGATGAATTGAAATGCTGATCGCAGGTCTTCTCATTCAACATCACTGCCTGACGTCACAAATGATCTTTAGTTTGAATGGGTACAAATTTCCACAGGAACACTTCAAAATCTTGTGGAAGCATTTGCAGGACAGTGGAGGTTGTTATAGACCTAAGGAGGGGGCAACTCCATATTACTATTCATGATTTTGAGACAGGGTGTCAAACAAGCTCACGAAGGTGTAAAGTAGGGTATACACAGGTAGATTTTTGTACGAACGTTCGTATGAAAAATACCATCGCAACATTCGATAATTCGGATTCATTCGAAATTTCGTTTAACTTTCTCTATTATTTAACATTCTATTTTGGAACGAATGGAGTTTCCGAACGAAAACTGTTAAATTCTGTCTAACATTTTTGTCTGTCGATTGCGCCATACTAATTGATCGATATTCAAATGAATGTTCCGAAAACGACATCTTTCGTACAAAATCTCAACTGTGTCTATGGAGTTTCATGGTCAGGTGTTGCCAGAG